ACCCCCCCATCTCATGGGGGGGTATGATGCCCTTTGCATACATGCATATATGCAAACATGCATACATGCATACATACATAGATACATACATACATAGACACATACATACATATATACATACTTACATGCATACATGCATGCATGCATACATGCATGCATGCATGCAGGCATACATACATTACATTACATTGCATTTCATCACATTATATTACCTTACATTACATTACATCACATCACATTACATCACATTACATTACATTACATTACATACATACACACACACAAACACCCACCAGCAAAACCACCACCACCCCACCACCCCCACAGGCCACAGGGGGGGGGAACCAGAAGAACCAGACGAGACTGTCCACCCATACCACACACGCCGACATACATACATGCATGCATACATACATACATACATACATCCATGCATACATACATCCATGCATACATGCATGCATACATACATACATACACACCCAGCAGCAAAACCACCACCACCCCACCACCCCCACAGGCCACAAGGGGGGGGGGAACCAGAAGAACCAGACGAGACTGTCCACCCATACCACACATGCAGACATAAAACATGCATACATACATGCATACATGCATACATACATCCATGCATACATACATCCATGCATCCATGCATCCATGTATCCATGCATCCATGCATACATGCATACATACATCCATGCATACATACATCCATGCATCCATGCATCCATGTATCCATGCATCCATGCATACATGCATACATGCATACATCCATGCATCCATGCATCCATGCATCCATACATACATACATACATACACACCCACCAGCAAAACCACCACCACCACCCCACCACCCCCATAGGCCACAGGGGGGTACCAGAAGAACCAGACGATACTGTCCACCCATACCCATTGGTGGGGGGGGGCTGACCAATGCTGCACCATATATAATATATATACTATACATACTATAGAAATTTATATACTATATATACTATATATACTATATTTACTATATATAGTATATATACTATATATATATACTATATATACTTTATATGCTATATATACTTTATTTGCTATATATACTATATTTACTATATACATATATACATATATACATATCTACATTTCTACATATCTACATATCTACATATATACATAAATACATATCTACATATATACATATACACATATTTACATATATACATGTATTTTCCTCTATACATATATACATATATACATATATACATATATACATATATACATATATACATATACACGTTTTTACGTATATACGTTTATACATATATACATATATACATAAATGCATGTATACATATATACACATATACATATAGACATAGACATATACAGATATACAGATATACTTATATACATCTATACATCTATACATCTTTACATATATACATATATACATATATACATATATACATATATTTACCCACCCAACTCCCACAGCCACAGGGAGGAGGGAGGAACCATGACCATGGGGGGGGAGGGGGGGGTCCCGGAACCTGGAACATATATAATTGTATAAGAATATATATATTTATATATATATATATTTATATATATATATGGTCACCCCCCTACGACCCCCCGACATGCTGTTTGTACTGGTAAAATAAAATGGTAAAACCAGTTTTTTTTTAATGGTATATTACAGGTAACTGGAAATCAAATTAATTGTTTAATAAAAGTATTGTGGAGGTAGAGCAAAGGTACATTAAAGATATTTTAATGGCCTATAAATTGGTATGTTAAAGGTGTATTAGATTGTATATTAAAATTAAATTGAAGGTCTATTAAAGATATTTTCTGGTCAATAACATGGTATACTGAATGTAAATTGCAGATAAACCAAAAATATATTCTTTGTATATTACATGGTATGCTAAAGACAAATTCAATGGTACATTAAAGGTACATTAAATGGTACAATACAGGCATTTTGCAGGTAGACAAAATTTTGTGTTTGGCCTCAAGACATCAGTGAATGATACCAAAGTGATTTTCAAATATAAATATATGTATATTTTTGATATATAAGTATCAATACTAAAGTATATCCTGCATCTGCTTCCATTTTCCACCCATCTCTGTATATTGAATGTTCTTGGCAAGCAACCACAAAATCAATGTTTATACTGTCGCGATCCTCTAACAGTTGCACTTTGCAAACATACTATGGGAATTCGCTGACCTGGAGGGTGGGTATGTTGTGGGTTGGGGGGGGTCGTGAGGGGGGGGGCTGAGCATATACATATGTATATATATATATATATAAAGTAATATATATCCATGTCCCAAAGGCAGTTGGGATTGTCACCTGAAGATTCCTCCACAACAAGTCCATGTTTCCAGCATGTTGGAAGCTTGGACGTGGATTCGGGAAGATGACCGATTTTCAGCCTTAAACGGATGTGGATTCGACCATGGCAGGACAGCTTGTATGCTAAGAGCACCTGTATGATTGTAAGCCTATCTGCCTATCTCCTTCCTTTTCCATTGGATTTTTGCCTTTGGCACCATAGGATGTGTACTCTGTGTACTCTGTGTACCTTGTAGATGAGTCAAAATTCTCCTGACAATGGGATGGCTGTACAATGATTTGGTGGAATATCATCTGACGGCCACCATTAGCGCAGCCAGGGGCTCAAGACGATTTCCCCTGGTTTTGCCATGTTTCGCCTCATCCGGTTTCACTAAGTTTCAGGCCGCAGATCTGCAACTTGCAGATTGACTCGACTCATGACTGACTCCTCGTTGAAGGTGATCGCAGAGACCTTCCTCATCGGGGGTGGGTACATTCTCACAAGCGCCTGCTTGCTTAACTTCAACAAATATTTGATGAATGGCCGCTTTCCGTATGCAAAGGTTTTTACAACCTTTCATATGATTATGGCTACCCTACTTTCACTGCTGCTTTACAAATTTGCTCCTTCCCTGTATCCAAGCATGGACAAAGCGAGAGCAAACTGGAAAGCTGTCTTGAAGTTCATGGTGCCGTTGGGATGTCTTTTTGCAATGAATTTGTACCTCTCAAACAAAGCACTTCAATATTGCACTCTGTCATTTGTGCAGTTCTGCAAAGAAGGGAATGTGGCACTGATGTTCGCATTGGCCTGCTTAATAGGGCTGCAAGCCTTCACTTGGTACAAGGCACGCCCAAAACGAGTGTCAGAAGTCAAGTCGCATGCAACTTCTAAGAGGATACAAAACACAATACACATCAATATAAAAAATTACAGCAACTCTGATTTTTGTAATTATTTTGATTATTTTCCGAGACCCCATAGGATTCAAAAATAGGATTTAAAACTAAAGAAATAAATGCAGGCTACATATGTATATATATATATATATCCAAGCTTAAATCCGCCCCTTCACCACGAATAAATAAAGCAATGAAAAAGTCATCAAAAATGAGAGCTCAATCACTTGTTTGTTATTACATTTGTTTTCTTAATCAGAGAACTTTATTTCTATTAAACAATGTGGTCACACTTGGGGTTGTTACGGTAAGGAGTAAGGCTGGGTGGATCGAAGGTGGGCTGATACGTGTTGATGATGGTGGTGATGGTGCTGTTGTGTGGTGCAGTGCAGTGCGGTGTGGTGCGCGGTGATGGCGATATGATGTCGGTGGATGGGGGAGTTGTGGCGTGTGTTCCAGCTAGTAACAGGCTTGTAGTCCATGTATAGCCCATATCAAACCAGAGATGTTCCAAAAAAAACTTGTAAGCAATATGGGTACTGCCCATTAACTCCTTAGTCCGTTGCTGCCTTGCTGTGGCAATTTTTGATTGGTGTACCATAGAACCCGGTTCCATCCCATGGTTTCGTAGTGAGGCCAAATCAAACATTCAAATTTGCATGTTGCGGGAGGTGGCAAACCTGTTGCCTCTCTAATTATGTTCAAAATTTGTGCGAAGGTGCTGCGTGATATGAAACTGTCCCGGCTCGTATTGTCCTGCGGCGGCAATAGACAATTTTAGACAGTTGGGTTTTGCTGGAGTTTCTTGATTTTGGTTTTGTGATGACAAAGCTGCTGGGCACACAACTTCGTGATTTCACACCAACGATTCCGTCGATGTGTCGTACATTCATTTTGGGCAGGCCGCTGGACGGGGACCCGGCCAACCTGACTGATGTTTAG